AGTAGAACTAAGGCTTGGATTCACTTCTCCTTTGTTATGGCTGCAGACATAATCTATGGAATGCCTTGACTTCAATTTCCTGTCTGTCCCAAGAAACCTGGTGCCTTGGCACTTGATACAATCAACTTTTTCATTACCTTTCATCATTTCTTTTGTTGTGAGGCAGAAAATGTAGGAATGATCGCTGAATGCAAAATAGCATGAGCATCCCTCCTTCCACAGAACTCCTGTCTCCCAAGATAAAGGGGGAAATCATTGCTCCAGTGGATGTTGGAAAACACTTGTGTACTCATCCCTAAAAATGCACTCCAAGGCATGAGCAAGGAATGAATGGGAATAGGAAATTATACATGTTCTCTACTGGAAAAGCAAAGTTGAAAATCACAAGTTGTTCCTTAGTCTACAATGTTTACTGAGATACGATGAAACGTTTCCAATTCATGTTTTTATTATTTAAAATGCTATCAGTGAAAAGTTAAAACTGGGCATTACTTCATGAACAGTTTGCAAACAGAAATAATTGTTTGTAATTTCTCATGATTCAGAATAATTTCTTTTTGTGTAAGAAAGCGGAGAGTATTGTGTATTTAAAGGGAGAAGCTTTGGAGAATAGATGTCAAACTGCGCAACAACAAAATCATTTGTCAGCACCAGTATTTCAGCCCTGTGTTTTCCACTGACAAGACACCTTTCCTTTCCTAACATCTGTTTTCTGTATACTATGATCTTTCAGGCAGGTTCCTCTTTGCTACTCTATTAACACTGCAAGAGGTTTGTGCTGCCAAGACCATTTCACAGAGCTACTAAATGAATTCACTCCTTGTTATTTGTCATTTTCTGGTTCAGCTAAGGACAAAAGCTTATGGAAGAACGGGCAAGAAAAGCACATACATGCCCAAGTATTGTCTGAATAATTTGCACATTCCCTGCTTTGTGACTTTAGAAAATAACTATTCATTACATAATGCTAATTCAGTAAAAACCTGCATGAATTTGCAGGGCTATAATTTTGAATGGCTGTCAGGAAAAAGACAAAAAAGCAAGGAATTCAAAATGTGGTGCTATTTTCAGAAATACCATGGATTGCCAACAGACAAATGCAAATCAAACCTGAATTCCCACTAGGAACTAAGATAACCACATTAAGGCTATCATACTTCTGATATAGCATAAGAAAACACAACTCTTTGGGAGAGCACAAAACTGGGGAAAGTTGAAAGCAGTAGAAAACGATCACATTACACAGCCCAACAGCAACATTTCTTGGTGTCTTGGTTTTTAGCCGTGTTCCTGGGATTATTTGAAGAGCCAATTCAGAAAATTGCACCGGGTAGACTGCATTAGCTCTAGTTTCTTAAATATATGTATCAGTTCTAGTTTCTAAAATATACTGTATTTACTCGAATCTTAAAGCTCACCTTTTTTGGCCAAATGATCATGCCAAAATTGGGATGTGAATTAGATTTGCATCTTATGGTCCTTTTAGTGCTGAACCAAAGCAAAAAGGGGAAGCTGCTTCTGGAGCTACACCTGGAGCTCGTATTTAAGGGATGTCATCTATAATTGCAGATGGGCAATTCTCTCACCAGAAACGACCTACGGTTTCTCAAGTCACTCCTGATACGAAAAAAAATATCTGTAATTTGTCATAACTCATTGCTATGCAATCCTGGAATTTGTAGTTTGGTGAGGCACCAATATTCTTTGGCAGGTAGTAAGGTAAAGGTAAAGGTTTTCCCCTGACATTAAGTCCAGTAATGTCCGGCTCTGGGGTGTGGTGTTGATCTCCATTTCTAAGTCGAAGAGTCGGCATTGTCTGTAGACACCTCCAAGGTCATGTGGCTAGCATGATTACATGGAGTGCCATTACCTTCCCGCTGGAGCGGTACCTATTGATCTACTCACATTTGCATGTTTTCGAACTGCTAGGCTGGCAGAAGCTGGGGCTGACAGCAGAAGCTCACACCGCTCCCCGGATTTGTACCTGCAACCTTTCGGTCAATAAGCTCAACAGCTCAGTGATTTAATCCACTGCACCACCAGTGGCTCCCTTTTTTTGGCAGGGAAGGCTTAAATTCCTGTCAAATTACAGCACCCTCAGGATTCTATAGCACTGAGCCAAGGCAGTTAAAGTGGAATCATTCTACACCATAGATGCACTCCAAGGTTTTCTTTTCCATTCCTGGAAGCTTTGGCATTCTAGCACAATTTGTTGTAACGAAGAAAATCTAAGCAGACAGCAACAGTAATGTGCACCTCTTTTGACCAAACTACAGAAAACACACTTTTTGCTGCTGTACATTGCATTAGGCAGCATTATTTTTTGGTTTCGGGGTAGCAAAATCAATTTGATAGCAAAGCATATGCATGGGTAATGGTCTCACCTTTAAGAATATTGATGTCTATAAAAATCTGGATACTTCTAATAGGACCGGCTTTGGCACAGCAGGTTAAACACCGGCTGTAGTCAATCTTGTCAATCGAAAGACTGCCAGTTCAAAGCCGAGTCAGGGTGAGCTCCTGGCCTTAGCCTAGCTAGTGGTTTGAAAGCAAAAATGTGATCAGAGTAAAAAGTACCACTCATAAAAAGTGGGGGAGGTATTCTGAGTCACCCAGAAGGAATGCCGGTGATTCAGTCCAAAGGAGAAAGTTACAAACTAGCTTTTTGGCAGGGAGATGGAGCGATAGCACATGACCCCCCCCCCCCGGCCGGAATCGAGCACACCACCTTCCAAGATGCCGGAAAGATGGGGGAAGCTGATATATATACCTCTTATCTATGTATAATTGTCTAACTTGTGTATAAAATGGCACTGAATGTTTGCTGTATATGTATGTTCTGTGATCTGCCCCAAGTCCCCTTCAGGGTGAGAAGGGCAGAATATAAATATTGTAAATAAATAAAAATATGAAAGATAAATTAAGGAAAGTGAAGTGGTAACATTCCTTTCACTGTTACTAATCATAAGATCAGGATGTGTTGAGTTGCAATTCTGTAAAGCCGTCCAGCAAGTCTTGCGTCTTGCTCGTGGTAATTGAAGCAATTAACCCAATATAATCATATTGAAAGAATGAAAATAGTGTTTGTAATCCCAGGGCTTCTATTGGCATCCATTTCCTTACATTAAACTGAAATAGAATATTTTAAGAACAGAACTGCAACTCAGTTCAGACCCGTTCATGCTGCCACTGAGATATCTTACAGGGCTGCTGAAATCTTCTCTTGCATATTGGAAAAGCAACATCCTTGCACAAGGGGTCCTTTGTATTAAAGTGATTACTCTCCAGTGCTCCATCTTCCTCTAAATAAGATCTTGCCAACACTATTACTATTCTCCCAGCGAGAAATGTATTTCAGTTCATGGACCACTTCTACCAACTAAGGTAATGGCACACAGCATTATGAGGCTGATTTTGCAAGATACATTCAAGCGCCAAATTCACTTGAACAGGAGGTGATCCCTTGTCAAATTTTAGATAAATACTATGATCACAAATCACACTACAACTAAAGAAGTGAATGAGAATGAAGAATGGGTCACGAAGAGACTGATCTTTAGCATCACTACATTTATAGCTTCTGTTCTTCACACAGCACAACACAATATACACAGTTCAGCCCCATTTTAATGTTCCCAGCTTTTAATGTAAGGACTGCCCAAGTGAATTTTAAGGTGGTGTGTGTCATTTGAAACTGTGCCTCTGCCATTTTCACCAGTACAAATCCAATTAAGAACTATGCCTAAAGCATGTGGGTTCGGCAATAGGGAAGGTTGTAGTAACGAAAGGGGGCAAGGCCATGGCTAAAATCATGTAAGCTCAAAGTCAAATAAAATAAAATAGCTGTTACCTTTTGTTTAAAAGGCAAAGTATTAAATAGAGTGAATGTGTAAGTTAAAAGAACATAAGAGTTGCATCCAACACTTGCTATCTACAGTGGGGGGGGGGGGGATTATTTAGTCAGATACCAATTGTACAAGTTCTCCCATTTAAAAAGATGAGAGAGGCCTGTAATTGATATCATCGGTAGACCTCTACTATGACAGATAACACATCCAGAAAGTCTGAATTTCAATGAATTTATTTGCAAATTATGGTGGGAATATAAGTTTTTGGTCACCTACAAACAAGATTTCCGGGTTTCAGACAGGCTCCTCTGTCTTCAACTCATACAACCCCTCTGCTATATCAGCTCCACTAGTTGCCAGTCTACTACTGAGCACAATTCGAAGTGCTGGCTTTAGCCTATAAAGCCCTAAACTGTACCAGCCTAGCTTACCTGTCCAAAAGGATCTCTCCCTATGAACTATCTCGGAGCTTAAGACTGTCTGGAGAGGCCCTGCTCTTGATCCCGCCTCCTTCGCAGGTGCAAGTGGTGGGGACAAGAGACAGGGCCTCCTCAGTGGTGGCCCCTTGGCAGTGGAATTCCCTCCCTAGGGATATTAGATCAGCCCCCTCCTTCCTGACCTTCCGTAAGAAAGTGAAAACATGGCTTTTTGATGAAGCCTTTGAAGATCCTGTGAAATAAAATTGGAATTATGTGCAATAACTATTGGAATGGCCCAGACTATGACTTTGGATAACGTGGTTAACAGTGAAGGCATTGTTTTGTATGTTTAAATGTGTTTTATAATTCTATTTAAATGTTTATTTTAACTGTACATTGTTTGAAACGGCATTGAATAGTTGCCTAGGTGTAAGCCGTCTTGAGTCCCCTCCGGGGTGGAGAAAGGCAGCATAGAAATGTTGCTCCGAGATGTTGTAAATAAAATATATGTGTCACATCATAATTCAAGGTTGTCTTAGTATATTATTCCAAACTCACTGCTGTAAACAGAAAGGCAAGTGGCCTAATGTTATTCTAAAATTATTAAAAGGTGGATGTGTGGTTAATAAATCTTCCCCTTCGAACACTTGTTATCTGGTGTCTGAGCAAAATTGTTGTAGTGTCTGTGCAAAACAGCACAGACACCGCAACACTCTTCATAGAGGCAACTGTATTACACATGGTGTATTTATTTATTGTTATTGTTAGAAGCTTCAGCAAGGCAACTGCAATTTCTTTCATCTGTCTACAGCTAAGTTCCTCTCAAAATCTCCCACATGAACATTTTGATCACTTTTATTTAACTGGCTTACAAAGTTCAATTTCCTCGTCAAGGTTCTCTGAGTGGGAGGCAATTCCTCAAGAAATACAGTATTAGTGCCCAAAACTATCAGTCATCTTTATGAGACAAGCCTTGAGTGTGTGATGGCCGAGGCTATTAAATATCCAGAAGATTGATACCAGAAGACGTGCACAAGAAATCTTAGGTTTCTAGTTCATTTTTACAGCCTTTTAAAAGATTCTCATAATGCTACCACGTTGAGAGCTAATGCTCAGTGGAGATTATATTACTCTTTAGCCTTTCCCAAGCTAATGCCCTCAAAACATGATGGTCTTAGCCAAGCTGGCTACGAATGAAAAAAGTTGAAGTCCAAAACATCTGAAGGATTGGGAAAGTGTACCTTGGGTGCTACCTAGAGAACTATTTCGGCAAACACTGATGCTTCTTTTCTTAGACAGCTGGCAGCACATCTATTCCTGTACCACAGATGAAACTGCTTATGAAATTCATCTGCAATTCAAAACAAGTTCCACAGGCACAATCAGAAGGTCTCCTGCTCAAATGCCAGGCAAAAGTCTGGCTAGGCTCATAGAACCAATTTCATGACTGTTGAAATCAAACCACTTGGATTCACAACTATCTTGAACTGCAAAACGTGGGACTACTGCTCAAAGCCAAAACATTACTCAACCAGTAAAGATGCCGAAGACAAGATGTGCAGAACAGCGTGATTCCATCTTCAGTAGAGTCTAAGCTTGTCCAAGAGGGGCAAGAACCAACGTCCCAAGAGATGGCTCTAGGTTAGACCAAGGAAAACAGAAACATGTTTGGGATCTAAACCATATGATTCAACACAGAATGAGTGCAACTCTTCTGACATTTTCAAACTGTATGTATGTGGTGTGTGTGTTTCTATCTAGAAATATCTTTCATTCTTGAAGAGGAAAGAAAGGAATTATTTGAAGGAAAAAGTCAGTTGGTAAAGCCAGCAAACTCACCACCTCTGGAGATTCAGAATACGTGGTGTGACATTAGAAAAGTCTATCGTTGTTTTGCAAGAAAATATAAGATTATCTTGATGATAAAAATATCTATTATTTCTTACAAAAACAACATATTGCCTAATATATTCATATATCACAATTTCATACATGCCCAGCAACAAGTTCTTGGAAGAAAATCCATTATTTAAAATGTAACTTGCATAGCAGAGTGTCAAAAGAACCGATTTCCAAATGATTCAATTGCTGGTGCTCCTGCAATATCTCTGAAGAGACAGTCTTGTTTTAAGATTGTGCTTTGCAGCACACACAGAGGGATGGGACGAGACCACATGAGATCAAGAACACATCTATTTTCTCTGACGAGATTAGAGCCTAGGTACATGATGCCTATGCAAATACAAGTTGGGGAAGGGCTCCCACAGAAATGTTCTTCCCTTGCTTTGCTATAGCCCAAAAGTTTGTTTCAGCCGAATTTTTAAATACTATATATAATTTTATGCTGCAGACATGTTGCTGAGGAGTACAGAACAATTTACTTAAATTTTGATCCCAAAAGCCATTTCAGTGAATACGGAAAAAGCATTTCAGCGGGAAAATTGTCTGCTATCTGATTTTTTCTTGTTAATATGCTTGAAGATTTTGGATTTCTGAACATTCTTTGACTTCTGATAACCAAATCCTCCTCCACCACCTCTTTTTTGCAACCTCCTCCCGTGGCTGCTGTTTATATCTGAAAGGCCTGTTAAGGAATACAGGTTTGTAAAAATAAAGGTTAGGTAAAAAGTTTGTATAAAGAAGTTAATTAGAGAAAAGCTCATAGTAGATATAGTATTATTTTTAAAAATAACCCTAGAGTTGTGGCAAATGAGAAGAAAACGTGATTCTGATTGTCAGTTGTCTGAATTTTCTCTACTTGGCTTTCCAAGAAACCTCTAATTTAGTTCACTATCAATTTAATTGTGTAATTGAAATAGTTACACTTCCAAAACTGAACACAAACTTCTGCATTAAGCAAACAGTCAGGTTAGATGAGAGATGCACAGTATTTCTGGTTCAAGATAGATCAAAATAAACACAATTGACCTAAATAATTGCTGTAGCCTAACATCTTGCAATGCTGAACATAAAACTGATCAGTTCCTTTCAAATCACTTTTTGGATAACAAACTATGCTGTAATATCACAACATGGGAGGGGGGGTGTGTGTGTCAAGAATGCCTCAAGGCCATGCATTTCCTGCCCTCTTTCATACAAATGGGAAGAAGTTCTAAACTTTCAGTTCTAGTTTCCAATTCTGAAAAATAAAAACAAACTGGTGTTTAAGAAGCCAATGATTTATACATTAATAAAACATAGTGGATACGAACATATCTTTTTGGGAAGTGTGTGTGTTGTGCTATCTTGCAGTAAAAGGATACTTAGATCCACAAATGGTGGAACCTTGAAACCAAAAGACAGAGCGACCTTTATCAGATCCAAATTGTTGACATTGTAGATTTCCTTCAGAGAATGAGAATCATACGCCCTTATGTAGGCTTTATAAGCTTCCTGAGCAGATTTGTGAAGAAAGTAGTTTTTCTCTATCAGTTTTTCCAGCTGAAAAATAAAATGGCAAGAAGAACCACATCATTTAAGAAATAACCAAACAGAATGACCTCACAACCTCAGAGGATGCCTGTCATAGATGCTGGCGAAACATCAGGAGAGAATGCTTCTAGAGCATGGCTATATAGATTGAAAAACCTACAACAACCCAGAAGTTGTTTTGCTGTTACTCTACACTGTCATTTACCAAACAGTGCAATAAAGCTGGAATATCACATGAATATATAAAAAAACAACCTGCTGAATGTGAATGAAACATCAGTAGAAATTGCTGACACATGTTCAGCCCAGAAAACTTACAGCAACCCAATCTGCTATAGTTGGACTTTCGGTAACTGCACGAAAAATATCAAGCAGTTTGTTTCTAAAGTTAGAAACTTCCAAGCTAAACTTTTATACCCAGCCCAATTTACACACATATGCTACTACTCTGCCTTTAGGGGAAAGTCCCAGACAAGACTACAGTGTAGGAGGGTGACCTGGTAATACTGCACTGCGATTCCCACCATCCTTCATCACTGGCTATGCTGGCAATGGGAAATACACTCCAATCTCCTCCATGCCACAGGACATCATCCTGGTGCTCCATAGAGAAAGGACAAATGACCAAATGAAAAATTAGCTGCAGAGAGGCTCTGTTTTCATAACTGACTACTATAACTACTGTTTTGGACACACAGGCAAATCAAAAAGAATATCTATGCAAATAGACAAAATGCTGTTTTTACCTGAGACTGGATATCAGATATTTTGGACCAAGAAAATTCAAATTCATTTAATGGTACCTAAAAGAATAATTAAGGAAAAAGGTAAGTTACATGGAGAAGTTACTGAAAGGAAGTTTGTGTCCTCTAGAACATAAGGATCCTTAGCATACAAATCTTTAGCACATCATAAGCCTCAAAAATGCAGTCATTATCTCTGTACCTTCTCAGTTATGTTCATTCACACTAGTAAATTCAGAACACACAGAGCCTTATCCAAATGACAGCTTTATAATCTACTAGGGAATGTTTCAGGGAGCCACAACAACTTTAAATACACAACATGAGCAGCTGCTTCGCAACAGCTTTCTAAGGCGCCCTTCTAACGAAGGGGATTTCATATTTCGTATTCATTGCAAGGCAATTATTCTGACAAATTCCTGGGCAAAGGCATCATGGAAGTTTCCAGATTTGCATAGATGTGTAGGCAAGTCATTTTAGGATGGAAAAACAAGCTCACATAAATGGATCCCCAGGCTATCCATGATGAGTTCTGCACTCAGCATGCCCCAAGATGTATTTTGCACCCTTAATGCTCTCATTATTCTGTGATTTTTTTTTCCTCCTAAAGACAGCTTATGGCCATCCCTGGCATCATGGGAAGCAGAAGCTGGTGCTTTCTTTTCTGGTAAATGGAAAAATGTAGGGATCAGGTTCCATTAGGATCAGCACTGTTCCCCAGAGCAGCTCATATATAGTTTTGATATTCCTTTATGTTCCGCATTACAGTGACTGAGAGCATATTCCCAGCCTAATCATGCAGTTTTGTCATACCAGCTCCTCTGCAATTATACTAAGCTTATTCTATCAAATATTCTCTAGATAGTTTAAGAAGTTGAATACCTAAGTATATGATTAATTATGCCTACCACAAGCAACTTTGGAATTAGCAGTGCATGCAAACATACCCTGGCTTGCTTTAGGTAACGGAGGAAACCCAGTTCTTCTGGCCGTAAAATAAGCAGAGCGTGTCCTCTTCCATTTATACCACGGGCAGTTCGACCAACACGGTGAATGTATTCCTTATTTTTAAAAAGAAGAATTTGTATAAGAGCAAAGACTCTGCTACTGAACTTGTCATGTGCATGGCAAACACAAAAGCAAAACAAGGAAGTTTAGCTGTCAGCAACCAAAGCTATTATATGTTTTTATTTGAATTATGGATGTAACTTTCAACCAGCTAAATATTAAGAGAAAAACAAAAGCACAAAACAAGTCTGTGAACCAAGATTGGGAGCTATATTTTTGCATTCAACTAACAAATCCCAAGCATTTTCCAAGCTCTGCCTGTTGGAATGGTGAAAAAAAAAAGAACATGTGTCTTTTTCTGATAGGCAGCCATCAATACAACATGTGCCAAAGTAATTTCAATAGTATATACTTTTTATTTTAAAAAGAGCTCACAGAGTTCCCCCTTCTACTACTATGTTCAGGTGGGAGGTAACATATGTTTTCCTTCTGAACAGCCACTCCACAGAGCAACCTATTGGACACAGCTAAACCCATCATAATGCTAAGGCCAGATGGATGAAATGCAAGACTGAGTAGCCATGACATTGCTGACAAAATTCACTCGATGAGTAAATGTCAGGCACCCAGATCCAAAATTATGATCTTCGTTTACATCTCAAATTTGTAAATAATTTGTTCAACTTTTATTTTGTGTTTATAATGCTCCAGAATGCTGCACAAATTCTCTGTCTTTATAGCAGTCCATAATAATTCAATAAATTCCCAGAGCCTTAACAGAAGCAAAAAAAGGCCCCTGTTTGAATGTGTAAGCCCCCCCCCCCCCAAAAAAAAAAAAAACTTACAAAGCTATCCACTTGTACCTGGAAAATGAAAAACAGTTCCCTTCGCATATTAACATATGAGAAGGGAAGGCTTGCTAAACTTAATTAAATAGAATGTTTATATTAAACCATAAACTGGTACTTGATTGGCAATCACAGCCTATCAATACTGGAGTATTTTGATATTCAAATCCGCATATCCTTGAAGTGCCATGAAATTTCAACTACCTTTGGATCATCTGGTGGGTCATACTGAACAATCCAGTCAACCTCAGGTATGTCAAGTCCTCGGGCAGCGACATCTGTGCACAAGAGTATGCCAGAATCTGCATTGCAGAACTGGAAAAAGGTGGTCGTCCGTTTGGTTTGTTTCTGCTTGCCCTGAAAGAAAGGAAATTTTCAAGATGGCCATAGGGTTCTATGAAGATGACTTCAAAAACAATTCAACATGTAAACATCAGGCAGACTTTAAAATTACTTGCAACAAGTTTTATCCACTGGCACAGTTATTATAACTTGAATTTCTGATAAGGCCATGGCCACCACTTCAGGTATCTATCAGCAGGGATTGGGGTGCAGGATCCCCACAAAAAAAGGGCGGGGGAGAAAGTTTTCAAAATGTGTGTTTTCTCTCTAAAAATTCCTAGAAACGCCATGTTAAGCAAATCTGTGAAAGCTGAATCTGCAAATGTGGATGACTAACTGTAGCCATGACTCAACCTAAGAAGTAGACAGCCTAGGAGAGGGCTGACAATAACTAAACTGTAGTAGTCAATATGATACTTCATTTAAATTCCATACAAATATTGTCACTGAGCAAGAAGGTAATTAGCAATTGAAGGTATACTGGAGGAGAAACACTTAATTCTGTATGACTTCCACCCACTATAGCCCGTGGCAGAGAGTGGTGGATAACCTATGTTTACTAAAAAAAAAAAAAATGAAAGTCTGCCTGGAAAAAACCCTCTGAAGATTAGTTATTAGATAAAGATTAAAGATTTCACATACAATGAAGTTGTTCACAAGAATAAGTTCTGGAAAATATCTGCCATGATAAACTGATACAGTTTTATGCCAAGCTCCTTCTTACAATATTGTTTCATTGATAATATTCCAGGCATTATAAACTCGATACAATGGCAGAATGTGGCCAAATAATTTTTAAACCTCTACTCAAGAATGATATTCAAGACATACAAAACAAAGGATCTGAACATAAAGGAATCACAGAATCAAGGTATATGGGCAACATTTGTTTTCCAGTTTTTATATCAATATATGCAGAAAGAAAGATGCCTTATTTCTTCAATGTCACAGATAATGGGGAAAAGTATTTGAATACAATAGTCAAGAACCACTTAAAATGGTTAACTGACAGCAAACCTCCCTGTAACAAACAACTTCAACCTTGCTGACAGAGCTCTGTTTTTCACTTAAGCGTTTTAACGATGGCCTTAAAAGAAAGGGCTCCCCGGATAACATTTAAAGGTTAATTTATGACTCCATCGCGGAAATCTTGCTGAGATACTGACATTCTGCTTGGCACACTAGCCTTCATAAAGGCCACCTGCAATTTATAATAACTTCAAGCCAGCATCCATTATTCAAACTTGAGTGTCAGCTCAAGACAGCAGCTGTAGATGCAAAACGAGATGGGTGGGTCTCACTTCACACTTAGAGAAACTTCTCTTCAAAAGAAAATCCATTCAATGAACACTCCAACTGGCAGAAGGGGAATAGAGCTCCACTAAGCCAGAGATCAACTCTCAGCAAACACAGGGCCCTTTCGACCAAAAATATAAATGGCACATAAACTAGAACACAATCATTGTACTGAATACAAGTCCCATATATCTGTGCAGTAGTTTATTATAATTTAATGGACTCAACTGAGCAAAACATCAAGTGACTTTTCTATCAGATAATAGGCTTTTGAGCCAGAAGGGATTGTTCCTTGTTATCTCTGGATAAGAAAGAAAAACTTTGGTACCATGGGAGATACTTATTATTTATTTACGTCACTTTTATCCCGCCCTTTTCAGCCTGAAGGCGACTCAGGGCGGCACACAGACTGGCAACAATTAGATGCCACATATAAATACATATAACAGTTAAAAGCAATTAAGACACATCATAAAATCCATATAAAAATCATAAAAACTAAAAATCTATAACAAACAATGTTTTTCAGTCCAGTTCTTCATTCATTTACATTGTCTTAGTTCTGCATTTTCTACTTCTTTCTGAGTGGCAGACTAAAATCTTTGGATCTAAATAAGCAAAAAAGTTTTTATTTTATTTAACTTTTGTAACTGGCAAGTTAAATATGTAATATTCCTGAGTGTCGGATTATATTCTGGAGAACAGGGATTTATTCCCCACTCAGACATGGAAGCCTACGAGGTGATCCTGGATGAACCATACACTCTCAGCCCCAGAAAACCTTATGATAGATCTTCTGGGGCTGCTATATGGTTGCTATAAGTCAGAAATGAAGGCATGCAAAACAATCTCCAGTTAAGGATTACCACTAGATGCTAAATGTCTGATGAACTTATCCATATAAAACCACCCACAGCAAATCAGGCAACTGAAACAGGCGCTGGTAAATGACACCAGCTTTCAAGCAAATTGTCAAGATCACATACTCACATGAATGGCCAGAACTGGGAGATCAATGTAATTCAAGAGTTCATAGTGGTACTTCACGGACATACATGAAGAGAAGAATACCATCAGCTTTTTCTTCCGATTTTTCTTGAGGAAAGTAAATAGCAGGAGGAATCTCTTTTCTGAAGGGCACACTACATAACCCTAAAATACCCCAAAACAAAACAATACCTTTGTGTATCCTATGGTCTGTATGTATTTCACATTTAATCACATAAACTCACATTTCCACAAAATCTGATAAAACATTCACCTTGAATAGACCACTATTGGATAACCTACATGGAAAGCATTATCCTTTCCCCAAGAATGTAAAGCTTGCAGACAAAATCTCACCAATTAAATAAAAAAAGAATTGCAATACAAGGTCAAGAACATCTAAAAACACCTACTCCACACATTTTAACTCCCTCTTGCATGTTTGTTCAGCAATACTATTAAATTCATTGGGATATATAAATGAACAAGTGCAAAATCACTGCCACAGAGTAAAAACATTTATACGAGGAGATTTGCTTAAAAGTTGATATCCACTCTTCAAACTATCTAAAACATGATCACCTAAAACATGAGAGAATCCACAGAACTGTAATTAAAATCAACACCAAATGATACATTTCTAAGAACCTGTAATTTTTAGTAGAGATAACTTTCTCAATATGGCATGAAAATATCCCACATATCTTGGTTGAGTTAAACAGTCAATTATATTCAATAATGTTCTCATATTCAGGTGGAATATGAGAACATTATTATGGTCACAGAACAAGAGTATAAAACTTTAGGTAAAGGTTTCCCCTGACATTAAGTTTATAGTTATGTCTGACTCTGGGGGGTGGAGCTCATCTCCATTTCTAAGCCGAAGAGATGGCATTGTCCATAGAAACCTCCAAGATTATGTGGCCAGCATGACTGCATGGAGTGCCGCTACCTTCCTGCCAAAGCAGTACCTATTGATCTATTCACATTTGCAGATTTTTGAACTGCTAGGTTGGCAGAAGCTGGGGCTAACAGCAGGAGCTCACCCTGCTCAATGGATTCGAACCACCAACCTATTGGTCAGCAAATTCAGCAGCTCAGTGGTTTAACCCGCTGTGTCATAAAACTTTAAACTTTTTAAAAAATTAAAAGTGTCAACATTAAAACCAAAAAAATCACAACAATAAAACCAGAAAGTCAATGGGTAATAAAATGAGTAAGTTAAAACGTTATCCACTAAAATAATCCACAATCTGCCACATCAAAGCCATTTTTGGAAGCAACTACGCTACTGCAGGAAATGCATTGATATATAGATACATAAAGATATAGATATAAAATATGAAGAGATAAATTATTCATGAAATAAGCATCCCACAAGAAACGAGAAACACAAAAAATTCAGCAGAAGTAACATGATTATTTAGGAAATGAATAAAAATAAGGCATAATCTCTGCTCTGATGTAAGCCTGCATTATTAATGTTGCTCATGTTACCTGCTCAAGACCTTCTACAGTTGCTGTTTCTTTATTGTCATCAACCCCAACATACAATGGTTCTTTCTTTAAAGATATTTTTGCCAGGTCCTCAACTTTACGGGTTTGTGTAGCAGAGAACAGCATGGTCTGCCTGCGCTCTGGGAGGAAAAGCATGGAAAGCACACTCAGTAGAATTGTAATAAATCACGAGACATTTCAGATCTCTATAAAGCAACACACTAACACCTTTATAATAAAAAGCAAACTTGGATCTAAAAGCCAAACTGTTTCAAGTCAAACTGGATTGGATTCAAGAACAGATGAATGCAATCAAAATCAAAATATGTTTTTTTAAGTCTGCACTTTCAATCACATTTGTGGTGTATATTTCCAAAATGTGCCAAATAAAAAACAAAATAAAAACAAAAACACAGAGTTATAGGTGGCAGCACATTGCTGGCCAGGAGTAGAATACTGTGTACAGATCAAATCATTTCACTACAGAGCTTGGAAAATTGTATTTTATAGAAAGCTAGCTAAACCCGGCTATGTTTTGCTGTGGCTCTCTCTGATATTAAATGAATGTGAAAGTAACTCTTTCATTCCGACTTAAGGATATGAAGTTCAACCATTCAGAAATTGCAACTGCATGTCTGTAGATCTAATTGTTCTTGGTGTTGTTGAGACAATTGTGCTGCTCTTCTCGATTCACTTCCTAAAACTCATACTATGGCCAGCGAAACCACCGGTGCAAAAAATTCCAAACATCCCCTGTACCATTTGCATTGCCTATAGCAACCAATCACAGCTCAGCATTCATTTCTCATACAGTTGTGGTAAAATGATAGTTGCTCTTTGATTGGTGGTATTTCTTATATTACTGAGGTAAGTGGAAAGCTGCGCTGTGATACACACGTGTATTCAAATGAAGGTTATGTCAAATTTTCATTTTGCTCTTAAAACATGAGCGCATTAGAATGCAAGGTTGTGTCAAAGTGTCATGTCAATCGACTAACTACTTTTCGAGTTTTGAGAGCACAAACATATGCAGGCTGTCTTTTTATATATAAAGATGAATGAATATGCTCAGCCCTTTTTTCAATTAGTGTGAAATTTGTTCAGATGGATTTTAAATTATACTCAAAACTATCAAAAGTTGAGAAGTCAAATACACAAATGTGGAGGACTTGCTGTGTATCTATATAGTGTTAAAAGAAATTAGAAAATCAGACTTACTTGGGAGAAGTTTTATGATTTGTTTCATTTCTTCCTCAAACCCAACTTCTAAAATTCTATCAGCCTCATCAATTACCAGGCACTGCAGGTTCTTGTACATAAAGCCTGGAGTATTCTGCAAAACACCAGAAAGTCATGTTGCTACCTATCAAAATGCAAAGAAAATAAGTCACACATCCTTCAGTAACTATTCTTCCTACCTGCATGTGGTCCAGAAGTCGTCCTGGAGTTGCCACAATGATGTTTATGCCATTTCCAAGCCTCTGTGCCTCAGCAGATCTATTGCTGCCCCCCATCACCAAACCATAGGTGTGGACATGATGAGTCATGAGTTCCTTGAGGACACCGTAGGTCTGCATGGCCAGCTCCCGAGTAGGGGACAGAATGAGGACACCTGTACCTGAACGAAAAAGAATGTGGCCCATTAAGTCCAAGAAATGGGCAGAAGCACTATCATCCTCAAATTTACCTCCAGGCATTTAATTGGTAAGAAAAAGAAAGAAAACGCTTACCATTTCTTGGCATAAATTTTAACTTGTAGATAAGTTCTATTGCTGGAATAAGAAATGCAAGGGTTTTGCCACTGCCAGTTTTTGCTGCAGCTAGAATATCTCTGCAGGTAAAACAGAAAAATAATTTTATGAGTATTATGGCAAACTAGAAGAAACAGTACATTTTCAGTATTCATACATAAAACGGTTGTGTCATTTTATCTTTGCCCATTCATCTGACTATTCCATTTGTACAATTAGTATTTTATTTATGTATTGTACGTACAACAGGAGAGCTCAGACTAAGAGGCAATCATTTATCATATTTGACTAAAAGACATTACAAATCTTATAATATCCAATAATATATATGCAAAATCATACCGAAAAAATCCTCAGATTAATGAATACCTTTCAAATAACTAGCATAAATACTTTTAGAAGCTTTAGTAAATAAGGCAGTTTTATCTGTAAAGTATGATTCATAGTCTAATGGTAGCCAGCATAACTTTATGCAAGACCTCTCTCCTTGAAAGTATGTCAAATTTTGTCCCAAGAATCTCTTCCTGGGTTTTAATAAAGCTGTCAATAGTGTAAAACAGGGGTTCTGAAACATTTTCAGCTGCAGAGCCCTTTTTGAAGCAAAAGTTTCTCATGGAGCTCCAAGAAATGTTTATATATTCATTATATATAATGTATATATATCCGGCATAGGCCAGGTCAGTGGTAGATGGATGGAGAGTGTGTGTGTGAACTAATACACATAGTGTTTTAAAAAAGGAAATGACAATATAATATTTAAAACCAAGAACAATTTTAACCCACACAAACTTACCAGTATTTCAGTGGAAGGCCCCAGGAGCCATCCAGTCCAACCCCCTGCTGCCATACAGGAAAAACACAATCAAAGCACCCAACAGAGTGGCCATTCAGCCGTTGTAATAATAATAATAATAATAATAATAATAATAATAATAATAGCAGAAATTTCATAGGCCATCTAGTCAAACTCTCTCCTGCCACGCAGGAAACACACAAAGTACCCCCAACAGATGGCCATTCAGTGAGTGGGGGGAGGGTCTGGGCGGCAAGGGAAAGAGTATGGGCAGCAAAGGAGGGAGGGGTGTGTGAAAGGGTCTGTGCTGCGGGAGGATGCTGCTGTTTTCAGCAGCTCAAAACTTTAATTTCACTGCATTTCTCAGGATGAGGAAAGAGGAGGAAGTGGGAAGCAGCATGGTGCCATGGAGTCCCTCACTATCACCTGTGGAGCCTCAAGGGTTCTACGTAGCAGTTTGAGAACCCCTGGTGTAAAATATCCTCAACCTTATCCATGCCACAAATACAGACTCTTAAATTTATTGTAATGTTTCTATATATGTTATGCAAAATGGATATTGGCATGGTTTGGAAAAGTAGCCCTATAACTGCAGCTCTCGGGGGGAGGGGGGGGGGTGAAGGTGAGCATTTGTAGATATTGAGCAACATGACTTGAATTCAACATATGATACTAACAAGAAACATTTGAAATTTTAATTGAAATTCAGTCCTATTCATTTTCCAATTTATGGATAGAGAATAAAATACCCATTTTTAAAGAGCACTTCTTACCTGCCTTCCAAAAGCGGTTTAATACTTTTATGCTGAATTTCTGTCATGTGCGTGAAACCCATTTCTGTTATTCCTTTCAAAGTATTTTCACTGATAAGGCTCTTAAGAGATGTAAAAGATGTATCCTCAAATGCACCTGTAAAGAAAAACTATCTCAATCTTTCTCTTTTAAAAACTGTGACCCAAATCAGTGGCTGTGCTCTAAAATAGACTTGTTCTTATTAATACAGAATACAAGTGTCACAAATTTAGTGGTGGACTGAAATTCTAATTTTGTTTAGACTGACATTACTTGGTCTTTCAAACTGAAGTTGATAGATCACAGAAAATTAATCTCAAATG